ACTTTTTAGAATATATATACATCGTCAAGGTAAACACTTTAAACAACAATTACTCATGAATATCCCTACTTAACTGGACATTAATCTCCAAATATAAATTAAAACAATACTGAAGAATGTGTAACAATTTATTGTCAAATACAATTGCAACTATTTTCCAAATCTAGCTAGCATATGATTGTATATGGATTGGCCTAACGCGATTTGAGAACCGTTTCATTCAATATGTAAACAGCATTCTAAGACACGGTGATGAGTCTTATGTAATGACCGAACGTAACTCTGATGTCGCCAAATATATTTTTCAATCTCAAAAGAAAGAAAGAAAGACGATATGAACAGATGTCTTATCCACAAATTCACATTGTACAAAAGACCAATAAAATTACGGAGGATAACGTTGTTTCGAAATACAAAAACAAAGTTTAACATGCTAACTACTTACCACGTATGTCTCTTTCTCATCCACGACTGTGTAGGCCAGGTTCTCAAAGTATACTGATGAACGCACCCAATTTGATCTAAACAAATGACAGTGTTTGTAACAATAATAATGTTAACAATGAGTACGATATTGCCAACAAACAATTGTTCTTTAATGGTATTTTTGATATAGATGAAGTAAATGCCGAATCACTAATTATTAACGATTGCATTTGATTGTAGTGTAATTACAGGCATATTACAAACATATAAACAAGCAAAATCCAAGTATTTAACCTGTGACAAATCGCCTTGACACAATAAGAACGTGTACCATGTAATAGGACTCAGACCTACGTGTTCCAGATTGTTTATGTCTTTCAGTTTGTCAGGTGTACACATTTTAGAAGCGGTAACTGAAATACTCGGTTTGTATGTATAACGAATGTTTGTAAAAAAAAAAAAAAGATACGGAAAACAATTCAATAATCAATATTGTTATTATTATATAGTCCATATCAAAAAAATAATAATAAATAAATACTAGAATGAATAAGAAATATACAAGGGAGCAATATTTTCCTTGCTATTACGTAATTGCCCATAACGTCTCAGTATAACATTTCATTCCAACGCAGTGACAAGGCTGACCTCTATCCCACGTCTCTGTTCCATAAACTAGTCAATATACTGTTGTTGGACGAGTACTAAGTACACTATCTAAATTTATATACAATATTTCTGGAAATTTCATGAAATAGTTTGACTTGGTTATGCTAACCGGAAGCAGAATGTCGAGTTTAAGCTTGGAAGGAAAGTGCATACACTTCGTTTTCACCACATTATAGAGCATATCCTGATCAGTAGCAAATAATTCACATGTGTTAAGTAGTTTTCGTGGCCCTTTTATAGAGGGCGCTAGTAAACACATGCCATCTGCATAACTGATATTATTAATCACAATGTTGCCAACAAGACAACCACATAGAAGTTTATTTAACTTCACAATTAGGCTAGACTCGCACCATATTACCCAATTCTCATTTAGTTTCCATTCAGGTGGCTTTCTAACTCTGGAAGATCTACGCGACATAATACAAGCAGCTGGCTCTTTATTATTATCGCGTCTTTCTGGTGAGGCTTGGAATAAGGTCGGGGTAACCATAGTAGTAAGCAAAGATGTAATCCCAGTATCCGAATCTGAGTCTTCAACTTCATTTAGGTCTCTAACATGGTCGGAAAATGGCTGATGTATCACAGTAGACTTAATTAGGTAGCAATAATTAAGTCTAATATATTTATATTCATATATTTTAGCAAGGAACTTGGATTTCATGAACTTTATAATTTGACAATGTTCATCAGAAACACCAAGAACCAAATAACGATTTCTGGCACAGGATTTATCCCTATCGCTATAAAGAAGTACCAGGTCACCAAGACGTATATCTCCCCTCACCTCGACGTTGCTGCCTAAAGTATGAGCATTGACCTTGCTGGGGATAAGGTAATACTGAAATGTGGTATTCTATTATTTCTTTGGATGAAAATCAATTGCAGAATAAGTCAACGTTTTTATTTTTCAATCAGATAGAAGATATATTGTCAGCCATTTCATAAACAATATTTGGAACTTTAGTCAATAGTTCATTATATCTATGACTACATTTTATTCGTCAATATCCATCATCACGTTAGAAGACCACATTCATTAAAAACAAAGCGTTGACTGTTTTATATAGTTAACACCGGGTACATCAATTGGCAGTATCTTCAGGCAAAACAATATTAATCCAGCACGACTCGCCAGCCCTTCCAAACGCCTATACTTATCACTTTAAAATTTTATATATAGTCCTCATTTTCATAGCCCTAGTTTTGTTGATGTTGACCCATGACATGTTTGTACCTCGTGTTGTTAATACAAAGCAGAGTATGATCATGTTATCAAACATACAAGAATGTCACGCTTCGCGGCAAGGACAAATGCAAATGCAAACACATAGACGTAGGTAGTTCGCTGAGCTAAAACACGGAAGTTTCGTTCAACACAACGTGAAACACAAATGCCAAATCAGCCAAGTGTAACATAGCAAGTTTATAAAGTAGCAAGCCCTTGTATTATAATACGCATACCAGATGCTGTCCGAATCTAACAATCGCAGGCCCCCATACAGATTGCAGTTTATTCTGGTAGCATGTCTCATGTACCAACAAAATTTAAACACACGTGTCCGTTTATTCGAACGCAGCGCCGGTATATCCCCCTCTAAAAGCAATGCCTTCGATAGGTTTAATGGGAATATTGAAATTCAAGTGGAAGGTTACCCATACATACATTGTATATACTTTGTATTTTTACATTTTTTTCTAGCGTCAACTTTATACTATGGTTTCGACAATGAATGCAATATATTCTCATTTTAGTTTAGTTTTGAATAATACAATTACTCATCATTCCAGAATATAGCTCCCCCAAGACTGCACATCATAAAGACTGTGGCAGGTGCATTTATTCGCGATTGGGTAGCATATAATGGTGAGTGCACTACATAAAATTGCAATATAACGAGAGCTGGAAATTAAAGTACATTAAATACAATATTCTGATATAAAGGCAAACCAGTTCTATTTGTATAACATAGAGACTCACATTTGTGGATGCGTAAAGTGATAAAAGTTATTGTGGTGTACAATATATGTAATCGAACATTGTCATTGAATTAGTAAAATGTAGCGTAGGTGGAGCAAATGGCACACAGTTAAGAGTAATATCAGGAAATCTACATAACAGCAAATAGAATATTTGGTTGTGTTTTGCCGCTTTTCAAGAGAATATATGTTTCTATTCCAAAGTTAAAAAGACAAATATTCCATTACAGTAGGTTTTTAAAATGTCATAACAAGTTTCGATATCGTAAGCTGACTATCTGGCTTTATGCGATGTCGTAGCTACACGGAAATAAATTTAATAATACCCAGCTTTAAGAAACAATAAAATACAGTGTAATGTTAAGTATGAATACCGAGCTTCGAGGAACGATCTGTCATGCAACTTCACGGTACGTTTGTCTACCTAGCTTTGCAAATAATAAAACTATGAGGCAATAATAAGTGATGCTACCTAACAATGTGAAATGATCTAGCGTTTGTTTGATCAAGCGTTTGTGAACTAGCAATAATATGTAATTATTCATTAATATTTGTAAATGATTTTTTAAGAATTCAATGAGAATACTGAACAATACAAGAATACTAGTCATATTTGTTTGTATTTCAGTCACCCTATTCTAAATCAACTGTATTTCAGATGGTTTTCAGTTTCTAATTGCAGAAAATAATTGACTATGGATGCCAGTAAATCTTTTCAAAACACATGACATCACCTCTTGGATTGTAGTGCACTTGTCAGTTATGTTGTACGTATACATTATATGCCAGTTGTCATGAACATTTGTGAGTGTTAATTCTTGGACTGCCCAATGTTCCTACTAATTTGAATGCAAAAATCAAGATGTGTGCTCAATGTATACTATTATATCAGGTGCCAAGTTTCAGGGCATCAATTCAGTGTTAAAAAACGATTGAACAAAACAGATTGCATCGTATTTGTGTAGCAATTATTTGTTTTTAGCAACTCGTTTATATTGTATTTTTATTCAACCTTATGTGCAAGTGGGTGGATATAAAAATATAGAGGACACACCACGTATTAGTATATTATCACTTTTTTTAATGTTAGACATAGTTATGGCATTTAAACTTATAGTTGCCAACATCTTCTCCTATTTTTGGTGTATATTGACTTACGGTGAAAGACTGAGTCTCTCCTTTTTGGAGGATAACGTTTGTAGACGCAGTTAATTATTTGAATTCGTTTATTTTGCTCTGATAAACACTGAATTAAACCATGAAATTATTTATCGGACGTACCAAGTTGGGAGAGAGCAGCTTATTAGTAAACACATTAAACTGTGTGTTCTTTTTGTGTTCAATAACGGTTTTTAGGTGCCTCTATACTTATTTGTACGCATATCCCATCCGGAAACATCCGGGGTAGTTTGCGGTGAAAAGTGAGTTGAGCGTTGCCACTTGTACGAGCCGTTCATGGAATGGCTGTACACGTAGATAGAACGGAGTGGTAAAGAATTGTAAATACACAGAACATGACATGACACACAGAGACAAATGCCCGATTGTTTCTCAAATCATTTCACACCTTTGAAACACAACCCTTTCTATTTGTTGCTCGGGGTTATTTATGATTTAAAAACCATATCATAACATATAGGATATTACCAATATCCAATATTAAACACATTGCTTCACATTATACACATAATGTTTGATATCTGAGATCTTGTTCACCTATTGACCATTGAGCATAACAGATATATTTTATGTTTTACACTAAACATAACTCGTAGTAATTTTTAACGATAGTAATTCGCCTATAGACAAAAATAGCGCTGCCCAGTTAGAAATAATCTGCCAGAGATTATTTATATTCCACGTCAGCAGGCGATGTTTGTACCGGGCAGTTGATATTCCAGCTCTCCATTTTAAAAATATTTTCGATGTCGACATATTTCCGTAAACTGTGTTTTGTCGGGACAGGTGTATGCGCTGCGTGCTTCACTTGGTCTGCTCATTTCGTGAATTCTACCAAAGCGATTTCGGACGATGGATCTATTGGGATTGAGGTGGACGATGCTCGTTTTCAGATTGACCACATCACAAAGCGAGGACTGCAACTGAAAATGGTTCAAGTGTTTTTCCGACATGGTGCTAGAACACCCCTGAATTTATTAGCAAATCCGACGAAAATACCAGAACTAGAAGTGAGTATTTATTTCCACTGTAATGTATAAACATAGCTGATACATTTGAATAGAACCATTTATATTGTAGATCACTTAATGTAATTTGTTTGTTTGTTTGTTTGTTTTTTGTTATATGGTGTTTCATATTTTAATCAGACAATACGCTTTTTATTTGGACCTGTTAGAAGGTTGCAGCTAACATAATAAATCCTGTTAGACATCTCTCTATTAACCAATGCTATATATTGTACGATCTGATGATTAGAGTCAGTCTGTGTTGACAACTAAAAATATTTGTACATTGTGATGCATATTATTCGTGGTTGTTATGTTTTACAGCAAGTGTGGGACAGGAATGTTTTGTTTTCGGGAGGAGAAGGTTTACTAGCTGATTATGTTGTCAAGGATCTTGGGGGTGGTCCTGCGCCTGAAAAGTATTTCGATGCTATAAACAAAACGGTATTATTTAAGGTAAGGACAAGTTCTGAACACTGCGAAAGTACATCATGGATATACTTACTCATTCACATTGTAACTTAATTCCATTAAAACACCAAAGAGTAGACTAGGATCGTATCCTTTTTCACAATCCGTTTTACTACTGATATTGGCAAGATATCCTCTATGAGTTGTTTTTTTGAAACGATTCCTAAAGCATAATGTCACGTGGTAATACTAATGTATGAATTGAGATGAAAACAACGAACTACTGTAGCAGCGCGTGTGTTTTAAAACACGTTACTTACATTTTATAGGGTGGAACACATGCTGGTCAGCTGACCACTAAAGGCAAACATCAAATGCATCACTTAGGAGAAGTTTACAAGAAATACTACATTGATAAATTGCGGTTTCTTGATCCACAGTATGAACCTGAACATATCTAGTAGGTACAGCACAGTGACTTGTATATATATATATATATATATATAGTGCGTATCAGACGAACATGCGAGACATCTGTATACGAAAACACTCTATCTATTTATACAGTCATTTTTATTATTTTTGTTCAGTATTAGAAGTTCTAATTTAAATCGCACAATTGAGTCTGCCGCCTGTGTATTAGCAGGGATGTTTGGAAATGAAATTAATAAGAAAGGTAAGTAATACTTTTTTGACAAAGGTATTACATAATACAGCCATAATTATTTCTCAGTGTATATAGTTTCATAATTTTATCAGTTAAAAATATCGACGTCAATTGACCCTAATGTGGTACATTCCAATGATCACGAACAGCAGGTATGAGTCACATGACGGTGCAATATAACCAATCAATCTTTAGATCTACAATTTGTTCGGCAATTAGTTGTTATTTAGTATTCGGCTAACAAATGAGTGACACTGAAACTACAAAAACAAATTTCACGCCACTATTGTCATTTTACAAGTCAAAACAAGAATACAAGATCGTATATTATATAACCATATAAATATGACTTAGAACAAAAACAACAATCAAACCATTTACCAACTTATATTATTTTCAGGTTCTGTTCCCATTTTTGTTGCTACAGCAATGGATGACATCATGTATCCAAACTTCAATTCCTGTGGAAGACTTAGTGCACTTACTAAAAACATGTGTGACGAAAATATTACGCCAGAGATGAGAGTAAATATTCAGCGTATTCAGAAGATATTTGGCATTTCGAAATGCAACCGAGAAGATTTATTCAAGATAAGTGATGTTATTTCCTGTCAAAAGGTGAGTTGGCGACCATACTACTCATCGTTCGTGTTAACACTGGATTTATGTTAGTGGATTTGTTCCAAAACATAATATTCAAATTAGTGTAATGAGTTGATAAAACTCATATGCACAGGGATAGTGTTGACAAAAAAAATAGTTGATGAATGATGTTGAATATTATACTATTTAATTTGCCTTATTATCGAATCACAATAAATCCTAAACAAGCGAATGTTAAACGTGATTGGAAGTCATGTATAATACTGTGTAAATTGGAATTTGGTAAATTGGAAAAACAAATTTGAATGTGCATATTTCTCGAACAACAATTATGAAGAATGCAAAGATCCGTAACAGGAGGCATCAAACGTACTAAACGAGATGTAATCTTACTCACTTCGCTTGTAAGCGTCGTTCATATGGCAAAATGAATAACTATCGAAACATGCGTTCGTTGCCAATATCCACGTCACAAGTCAAACAATAACCCGAGGTCAAAAGATCGTCGTTTTTTGTGGAGTGAATACCGCAAACTAGTTTTCGGACTTTCATATGTGAATCTCAATATAATAGTATTTTAGGGATAAACCCCGCATGTTTTAATTCCATATAATATAAATATGTAACTATTCAATTTTAGTTCAATTTAGTTTTAGTATAAACCTATTCATAAGTTAGTATCATCAAACTAGATAATCATCGTTAATGTTTTATGTTTAGATTTTAGTTCCGTTGCTTGGCATTTATGAAAAATAATAGCCTAGTGTATTTATCGGGAATATAAATAAAGATTATTCACAAGCTACTTACCTATCAATCAATCCACTCTAAGCTGACCGGTAACAAATTATTACAGTAAATTACGTTTCAGCACTCGTCAAAATAAAATTCCTACTTTGGAACGAAGTTTGAACATAGACAAGACTAGATGGCTTACCCCGTTATACCTGCACACAAAATAGTTACTATAGTTGATTCCCTCTTCACATTTCGAAGACCAATCTAATAGATAATCAAGTAAGGCAATAATAATTCTTGTCAACAAGCTATTGCAATTCCGTATATCTTACACACGATAGGCACATGGTATCCCAATTATGGACATGCTGAATCAGTTGCCAGACTTTGTTGAAGAATGCGCTGTTAATTGGATGAAGGATAGTGTTAGTCAACCTGGGAAGCATCGCTTAGAATTGCTCCAGATGTCGGGAGGCAGGATTGTACAAATGCTCAGGGATAATATGAAACAACTTATTCAATCAAACAAGTGAGTTTCATCACACATCTATTTTTCAAACAAAAACTGAAATAAACCTGGGGTGAACTTTGTACGATAGACAAATAGTTGTAAACTTACATGGATAAATAAGTAGAACCAGCAAACCAGAGATCATACAGCATATATGTAGATTCACCACTCTCTAAATGTACATCGTCTCAGCTACAGGAAATCGTCTCACTTTTATTGTCTTCACATTGCAAGGATTTACACAGCTCAGAGCTCGCCCAAGAAATATTTGATGCCTTGGTGAACCCTCTTTTTTTAGATGTCTAGTTTGAGTTGATTCGAGGAATCCACGTGGTGCTGCTTGATGGCCACCATTCGGGAAGTCTGTGCATGCGCAAAAGCTAATATACGCTCCGACCGCTCAATAGGTTAATACATAAAAGTATTGATTTGCAAGTGTGTGAATCTGATAGACTTAGGCAAAAAGTTTGAACAATATAGTTTATAATATTACATTTAAAGAATTTAACCATAATACTATTAAAATTTAATTTACAATAAAATATTACTGTTGATTATTACAGTATTGAGATATTCCGGATTTATTCATGTCATGATGGGACGTTGATGGCGCTGTTAATTGGTTTGAATATATTTGATGATATTTGGCCACCTTATGCAGCAGATTTAACATTTGAATTATATGAAGATGAAAAAGGCTTTCATTATGTTAGAACATTGTATTTAGGCAAGGTAAGTGTCTGCGAAGAACTTCTATCAGTGTGATGTCAGTTTAACTGATGCCCAACTAAGAGAATGGCAGTTTTTTTAATCACATATTTCGACAAACCAGAGCTTCACGTATCTCAGTGATCCTTTACCTATTATTGATAAATGACTAATTGTCCTTGGTAGAAGGGAACGCATAGACAACACGCGTACCAACTACCACACAAGGTTTATATACAGATTTGTTGAATTGAATCAAGCAAAAATGCTCTCTGAAAGTTGACAAATTGGTACATCGACCGCGGCTGGACCAATAGTTTAATGTTGTTCCAAATGAAACAAACATGTGTACGTAACCAAAAATCAATGCAACAACACATTTCCGGATAACAAAACAATTGAATCCAACCAACTCGATTTTGCGATATAAAAGGTGTATACAATTATGGAATGTACCTTGTAATAACAAGAGATAATAGACAACTTAGTAACGGCGGGTGTTTTCGTTTCTGCTTAGGAAAAATGTGTATTAAAAAGTAAAGAAGCAATTATCCCGTTAGAAGAGTTCATAAAATTAACATCCGAGATCTCGATATCGAAGGATAAGTACCTAGCTTTGTGCGATGACATAACTACATTGTAATATAAAGGTGAGTATGACTGCTTAGATTTAAAAAGGCATAGTTACAATGTAATTTAATCGTAAGTTTGACGACCAAAAAGTAAGCAACGACGTATAATGGTAAGCAACGCAGATTTGGTAGCTACAACTGGCACGCAATAGTGAGTATGACTGCAGTAATTTGCATAAATAACGTGGCTTCACTTGTTGAGTGTGACTACAGATTTGGTCGATGGCGTAGCTATACTGCTATACCTGTACATTATTTTTTTTATTTTTTTAATTAATCGTATATTGAAGTGTGATGTAATAAATACAATGTACAGATTTTAATTAATCGTATATTGAAGTGTGATGTAATAAATACAATGTACAGATTTTAATTAATCGTATATTGAAGTGTGATGTAATAAATACAATGCACATATTTTAATTAATCAATCGTATAGTAAAATGTGATGTAATAAATACAATGCACAGACTTTAATTAATCGTATATTGAAGTGTGATTAATAAATACAATGTACAGATTTTAATTAATC